GGGAGGGGAGGGGTGGGAAAAGGCGGCTGCCGTTCACCAGGGGTCACTCCGGGCCCGGCCCGCTGCCCCCAAGATTCAAGCTGCCAAAGCCGAGGAAAGCGAGAGTTCACGGCGGTCGGTTCGAGAGCCGCTGAGGAGAGGCCGAAAGGCGCCGAGGCCACGCATTCCGAGGAGCTGGGATGAAGCCTTCCCGGCGGCGAGGACTTGGAGTTGGTGCGTGTCACTCTCCTCTGGGCCGCGCGGCTCCTCCTAGAGGAAAGTACTGGTAGTTGCAGTCCACTTCCTTCCTCTAAGACTGACTGCTCCCCAAGAGAAGTTAGGACCTAGAGGAGCTTCAGGGCAGTCAACAAATCCAAAGATAGGCTTACAGAAAAGTTAGCTATGCAGGACTGGGAAAACCCAGAGAGATAGCGTGGGAAGTGTGATTAGGCAACCAGGCCTTGCCTCTCTACCTGCAGCCAATTTCCAAACTCCTTACGGTGACAAGATAGTTAAAACTAGGAAGGACTTTATTTAGTGGTTAGAAATGGAGGTAATGTATGCAGAACACAGGGCATAATAGCAGAGAGGTGTGTGTAGGAGCCAGAACACAGGCTATGGGAGAGCAGACGCAGGCCCTGGCCTGAGACTTGTCCTCCTATGTGACCTGGATAAAAGTGTTAACTTCCTTGTCCTGGACATAGTTCATCTGTCAAATACAGGCCCTGCCTACCACATTTTGCTGTTGGGAAAATAAAGCTAGACGAGAAGTTGTCAAAATGCTTCAGAAAGGTAAAGTTGTGTTTAAGTATGTCATTTTTGTAAAGCATCGAATTGCCAGTCACCACCTGCTTTTGTAAGCAGAGTACAAAAGTCCAGCTGCAGGTTGTCTGAGATCTGAACTGGCAGCCAGTCATGCGACCTTTTTACTATTTACTTTAGACTGACAGCCAGTTGTAGCGTCACTTACCTATGAGCTTCTAACAACTTCAGTTTACTAGAAGACTTTTTTTTTTCCTTCCAGAACTCCCAGACACAATGCCAACTTTATACCTAGAGAAAACTGTTAAACAACTCAAAGGAACTAGCTTCTTGCATTAGAACCAAAGATCCATAGGGCATTCAGTTAGTACATGGGAGCCAAGATTTTGGAAGAAACATGGGGCCAAAGGCTTTGGAGCAGCAGCTGTGATGAAAGATACTTCTATTTTCAAAGGAATCAAATAAATAGTAAACTCTGTTTCCTAGAATTCTTTCAGAGGTTCAGTTGTGGCTCAACACCCCAACCAGTCCAAAGACACCCAGAGTCAATGAAGAAGAGTCTGAACGCGTTACGTTTTATCACTGTCCTACCCCAGAAGAGGGGATTGGATAGTTACTGATCTTGAAATGTTCCTGTTCTATCCTATCTAAGTATAGGAAGCTCTTTCCTTCAATCCCTCAGTTTCTGGGTTCCATATTTTGCAGAAGCAGTTGAGGTGCTTATGGGTGCCTAGAACTTTTAAGAGGAAGTGCCACATAGAGAGGCTTAGGAAATTAAAGATTAGTCCACAGTCAGGCAAAACTCCAGCCAGGTGTTCCATACATGCCAAGCTGAAAGGGCAGTGCTAGCAGGTGTGGAGACCCGCCACTCTCAATGCTGACTGTATTCTTGTATGAGGTGACCTTACAAGTCGACTCCTCAGATTCTGACATCACCATTTCTCCTTATATCCTATCTTTTCTACTCCTGGAGCCCAGAAAATCTTGATCTAGTCTAGAGGTACCAGATAGACCCATGGAAGATTGTCTTCGTTCTATTGTTTATGCTCTGAGACAATTTTAGAGCCAGGCTTCAAAAAAGATCTGACTTTTCTCTTTTTCTCTGAGTACAGCAGTAGCCTTCATTCTGTGCAACATTAAAGCAGACTGCTCTGGCTCTTATTCTGCCTTTGATAGAAAAGGTCATCGCACACAGAAAACATAGAAAAAACATACGGTTAATATGAAATATGGTGCTAGTTATAAACTTGCAACTGACATGAAGAGCAGCCTTGATTCTTAAGCCTTGTAAATATAGGCCCTGCGTTTCATATATATCCATGTAAAGGCCTATAAAAGTATGTACATCACTATACTTTCCAAATTATGAAGAAAAAAATGTATCAGGTATTGAGGTGACTAATTTCTTACGATTAAGGCATGCCAGAGTACATGAACCTGTGAAAAGTGAAACTGCATTAACTCAGGCTTCCCATTCTGCCTGGAATACTCCAGTTGGTTCTCTCAGAGAAAACCTCTTTAACTTTTGAGTTCCAGCTCAATTGCTTACTTCCTTTCTGAAGCCCTTCCTGACTTTTCCCAAAAGCGAACTTAATTAACTCTTCCAGGAGCTTCACTTTTTTAGACCTTTTACCTGTTTTTGTTAAGTATTGCAGTGTTTGTTGATATGTCTCATTTCCCCATTCATGATGAAACTCTGAGAGAGGACCTGTATCTTTCTGATAGCTGTATCTGCAATGTCTAGGTCAGTGCCCAGCTATTGATAGGGAGCCCAGTAACTGTTTAATGAAATTGAATGAAAATTTATGTCTTTCCAAGTTGTATCTTAAACCCAGATCTCTCTCCCCACAGAGATCCGGATTGCCAACTTGACATCTAGAAACCCAACATGTCCACATTGAACTCTGTATTTCTTCCCAAACATACTGCAATCACAGCTGGCGACATATCTCAGTAGCTGGCAATTACTTCTTGCTGGTTACTTGGGCCACAAACCTTTGAAGTCATTCTTGCTTCTTTAGCTCTAACATTCCACATTTAGAATGTGTTTAGTTCTCGAAAATGTCAAAAAGCCCGAGGCCTGAACCATCAGAATTTCTGACCTGGGTTACAGCAATAGTCTACCAACTCAGCTGGTCTCCCTGTTTCAATCCCCTACCCCATCCCAAATACCATCACTAACCCAAAGTCTACCCTAGACTCTGTGGCTGAAAGGAACGTTATAAAAGCTAAGTCATGTTGTAACATTTCTTGGCTCAAAACTCTCCAGTGGTTCCCATTTTTAAAAATTCAAAATGTTCCTCAGTCACCCATTTTGCTCCAGGCACGCTAGACTCCTTGCTGGTTTATAAGCAGGCCAGGTACACCCCTAACTTGGAACTGTAACACTGGCTATTTTCTTTGCCTTAAATACTTATCCCCAGATATCCTTTTGCTTCTTCCCTTACTTCCTGTAGGGAGCGGCTAGATCTGGACTAGGCACTAGTGACCTTTAAAGTAGAGATACTCTTTGGGCTTTATGCTGCAGGGCAAGCAAAAGCTCTAACAAAGATCATGCTGCTGTTACCCTACAGGGCAGTGTAAATTGAGGGAAGCTGAGTGTCAGCCAGAGAAGGCCAGGGAAATCTTGTTCAGAACTATAAGACACCAGAGCCACAGGATACAAGACGTTCCACAGTCACAACCCGTTTTCCTCCATCCCCCATTTCAACATAAAAGAATAAATCTGGGAACGGTTCAGTGCTGCATTTTCCAGCAGAGATGCCCTGTCTGCCCAATCCCAGCTTCCTCTATTTGTGCGTCTATGTGTGCATGTTTTCTCGATCCCATGCATCCACTTCCACTTGGGGTTCCACATCCCTTTGCCCCC